TCAAGTCGGACCCGACTCATAGCAACCCCTCCTTGGGTTTCCAAGGCAGTATCACTACGGAAGTAGATTGCCCCATCTTCCTTCCGAGGAGTGGCTGATAGGTTTGAACCGCTAGCCTTCTGGTTAGCAGTCAAGTGCCTTAAGCATTACGCTACCAGAGCTCCTTATGAAGCTTAAAAAAGCTTATAAAGAAGAAATGCCTGACAACAAATGAGAGTTTTGAAAAATCTCCTGAATTGCCTTGCTTGTAGTATGTTTTACTAACAGTGCTTATTTAAAAAAATCTTTATTTAATTCTCATTCCATTAAATTTACCCATTTCAAGTGTAAAATTCAGTAGTTTTTATTGTATCTACAGTTGTGAAACCATCGTAATATACTTTAGAAAATTTCATTACCCCCCAAAAAAAACACTGTACCCATTAACAGGCACTCCCTCTTACCTCTCCTCTACCCCCAACCCTAGGCAACCCCTAATCCACTCTCTGTCTCTTTAGGTTTGCCTACTCTGGACATGTCATGTAAATGGAATCATACTGTATGGTCTTTTGTGTCTGGCTTCTTTCACTTAGAATAGTGTTTATCCATGTTGCAGCATGGATAAACATTATTTTTTCCTTTTTACTATTGAGTAATATTCCATTATATAAAGGTAACATATTTTGTGTTATCCTTCACATGTGCTGATGGACATTTGAGTTGTTTGCACTTTTTGGCTATCATGAGTAATGCTGTTATGAACATTTGTGTCCAAGATTTTGTGTGACATATGTTGTCAGTTCTCTTGCGTGCATACCTAGAAGTGGAATTGCTGAGTCGTATGTTAACTCTATGTTAATATATTCTGAGGAACTGTATCAGTGCATTCACAATTTTATCATTTTCGCCAGATTATGGGACCTGGAGAAACAAATCAAGCAACTGAGGAATTATCGTGATAATTATCAGGCTTTCTGCAAGTGGCTCTATGATGCCAAACGTCGCCAGGATTCCTTAGAATCCATGAAATTTGGTGATTCTAACACAGTCATGAGATTTTTGAATGAGCAGAAGGTACAAGCCAATTTGTCATTCATAGTTGTTTTAAGATTAATTGGATGTAAACTGTTTTCCTCTGGCTTTCACAGTAGTGCTTAGCTTGGAAATAATAATTATTTAATACTATTAGTCTATTTTGTGGATGCTTAAAGAATGCTCAGAAGAAAAACAATTGATATTTACAAAGACGTACAATTATGAACTTAGAAATAATGCGGTGCTGTTCCTCTCATGCTATTGTAAACTATTTTTATAAATTGAAATGGTAGGACCAGAAAACATTGCTGACTGGAATGTAAACTCTTGGATAATAAGAAGTTGAAGGTCTTCTTTATCTTTTTTGAATGAAAAATATGCTCTTCATCTAAGATTTAACTATGAAAGGTGAGATCAGTACATGTAGTAATAAAATGAAGAACAAAAGAAGTAACAGTGGTTGAAAAGTGAAATAATATTTACTTTAAGATATTCAGACACTAACATTTGTAAATATTTCATTTTTGTACAGAACTTGCACAATGAAATATGTGGCAAACGAGACAAATCAGAGGAGGTACAAAAAATTGCTGAACTTTGTGCAAATTCAATTAAGGTATGTTGGTTTCACAAAGAATTCTCATTTCATCAAGAATATTATTAACTGTATTATCTAATGATTCACTTTAAAAATTATAAACTTCTTGAGGATAGTGATTAAGACTTTGACATATTTTCTTCTGAGTAAACCATAAACATTTACCCATTAATGTGCAAATTGGCAATATCTGAGATAATTTAAAAAAAAAACAAACCCACTGCCATCCAGTCGATTCTGACTCATAGCGACCCCCCATTGGGTTTCCAAGGCAGTAAATCTTTATGGAAGTAGATTGCTTCATCTTCCTTCTGCTAAGTTGGTGGTGGGTTTATAACTTCTATTTAGTAGTCAGATGCCTTAGGCACTGCACCACCAGAGCTCCTTAACCGAGGTAAAGGGTGGTCTTTATTTTTTCAGTGGTTGTATATGCAAATATATGCAATTACCATATAAAGGTGTACTGCTTAATGTTAAGAATATAGTAATAACTGCTTGGATACTAGAAGTACGTGATCGACTTGGGCTTGACCATTAGAAACACAGTTTGCTCATTTAATAGTGTGAAATTAAAGTTGTCAGTGACTCCTTTTAAGTCCATTAAGAGAGTTTTTCTTAAACTTTATTACTCTCCAGGATTATGAACTCCAGCTTGCATCGTATACCTCAGGATTGGAAACTCTACTGAACATACCTATCAAGAGAACTATGGTTCAATCCCCTTCAGGGGTGATTATGCAAGAGGTATATATGTGTTCATATATGTCATTACAGATCTCTTACATCCCCTTGCTTCTGCCTTTTCTTTTTCCCTATCTTTCCTACAGTCCCTGAAATTTGTTCCTTGTTATAGGTTATTGCTCTAAATGCACTAACTGTGCACAGCAAAGGCCATGGTGGACAAATCCCAACTTCATTGCTAACTGTGTTGTAAAGATCATCATGAATCCAATTTCTGCTTAGAAATGGATCCAGTCCTCACCTTCCCACTTCTCTATCCTTGTTGCCAGCCACTCCAAGCAGTATACTCTCTCATCACCAGCTGTCTAGTCCTTACCTTCCCACTTCTCTGTCCTTGTCACTAACCACTCCAAGCAGACTCTCTCTCATTACCAGCTGCTTGGGGCTGGGTCAGGGAGTATCAGTCACAAGCTCCATTTCCTCTACTTCAGACTGGCAAGCCCCTTCTCTCTCTTACCCCTAGCCACTTGGGGCTAGGTCAGAGCACACAATTTACAAGGATACAGTCCTTCTGACTGCCAAATAGGCAGACGTTAGCCTCACTGGCTGTCTCCTTGTGTGTTTAGTAATTCCCTGAAATGGCTCACAGGTGAGTTAATGGAAAGTATACCATACTGATTCATTATAACTAGAAAGGATACAGATAAAGAGATGCATAGCATGAGACACATATAAAGCAAGGTGGGGGAGGATCCCAGCACAGAGCTTCCTTGCCTCCAGGGGACATGCTATGTGCTCCAACCAGGAACCTCCATTAAGCTCCCCTCTTCCCAAGCCTTTATTGGCCTTACCACATGGCCATAATCTATTACATTTTGCCTCCTGAAACATCAGGCCCCCAGGTAGTCTGGCTCTCAGCAACACAGAACAAAAGGCCAGATTGCTTCTACACCTCACAACCCCAAAAGACCAAATCCACAGCCATCAAGTAGATTCCGACCCATAGTAACCCTATAGGTCACGGGTTTTCTAAAGCTGTAAATCTTTACTGAAGCAGACTGCTTTGTCTTTCTCCTGAGGAGTGGCTGGTGAGTTCAAATTGGCCAGCCTTCTGATTAGCAACTGAATCCCTCAACTACTAGAGCTCAGATATCTATTAGAAAAGATGTAGCAGCAGATTATGTGTCCCACCCCCCTAGTGTGAGTCATTGATATGTGGTTGTTGTTGTTGTTGTTATATTGTTATATGCCGTGGAGTCAGCCCCGACTCATAGCGACCCCTCCTTGGGTTTCCGAGGCAGTATCACTACAGAAGTAGGATTGCCCAACCTTCCTTCCGAGGAGTGGCTGGTGGGTTTGAACCGCCAGCCATCTGGTTAGCAGGCAAGTGTCTTAGCCACTATGCTACCAGAGCTCCGGAAATCATCAGTGGAAGTCTGAATCTGTCATTGATACATTAGAGGCTCTGCAGAAATTGTGCTTAAATTTCTAGATTTAGTGAGGGAGATGTCTAAAAGTGAAAAAAAAAAAAAAACCACAAGTTTCTAAAAGACATCTTTTCCCAAAGATGTCACATAATGCCTCCTCTCAGGTGGTTTAAGGGAAGCATTCTGGCTGGAGCCATGAGAATGGAATGTAATGCTGTTAGCTCTTTGTTTTGTTGTACTTCTACATTTGGAATTAGCCCACATGAAGGAAGGAATTAATTCTTTAAATGATAATTTCACTATTTTATTATTTTAGAAAATAAAATTAGTCAACTTGTGTAGGATTTTTTTGTCTTTGTTTTTAACCCAACATCTTTTTTCCTTCTTCTTTTATTCCAAGGCTGCAGACATTCATGCTCGATATATAGAACTACTTACAAGGTCTGGAGATTATTACAGATTCTTAAGTGAGATGTTGAAGAGTTTGGAAGATCTGAAGGTAATTTATTACTTTATTTTTGGGGGGCATCAAAAAAATAGAATAGAACCTTATTATTACTGTCTCATTATAATGTAGATTTAGATTTATACTGATAAAACTATATTTTGTCTTAGCATTTAATAATAATGCATTTTTTGAGTTAAGCCTGGGGTTAGTCCCATGTTCCTGTACTTGGTTCTAAATGGATTTGTGTAGTACTTGCAAAATGGCAGCTACTTTATCTTGCCATAAAGGAATAATTTTATTTAACGTTTTACCAAGGAATTTTCTTTAATTTTTTGATAAATCAAGGATAAGAAATCTTAGACTAGTTGGATTTGACTTTTTAATATAAAAGTTGTTTGATTTATTCTTCTTTTCTAATACTTAAGTTTATATGGAAACTCACTTTACCTTGAAATAAAGGAACATAATTTATACAATCAAAACCTTTTGATCTGGAAAAAAATCACTTCATTTTGTAGTTCAGAAAACTGAGACCCAAAGAGGACATATTATTTGCTAAGATTATAAGTTAATGGAAGTTATTAATGGAAGCATTTAATGGAAGAATTATGACAAGAACTTAGATTTCTTAATTTTTTGTCAAATAGTTTTTGCCTCATATCCTCGCTTTGTAGGAGGTCTGGTAAAGCATTAGGCTGCTAACTGAAAGGTCAGTGGTTCAAAGCCACCAGCTCCTCTGCTGGGGAAAGATGAGGCAATCTGCCTCTGTAAAGATTTACAGCCTTGGGAACCATAGGGATAGTTCTACTCTGTCCTAAAGGGTTGCTATGAGTCAGAATTGACTCAGCAGTGGGTTTGTGTTTTCGTATTACACTTTGTGTACGTGTGTATGTGGTGGGGTGTATGTATGTGTGCATGTGTCTTTGTGTGGGGGGGGATATATGTATGTATTTGTGTTACATGTTTGTGTGTGTATGCAGTCGGGGTGTTTTGTATATGCATGTCTTGTGTATATACATGTGTGTGTTATATTTTTGCGTGTGTGTGTATGTAAAGAGAAATGGGAAAATAGGAAGGCACATTGGTCTGGGAGGGGAAAAGTACTGCCTCTTTTTTTGTGACATGAGGTATTTTTCTCTCATCATCATTTCTGATTTCAATTTCACAGTTGAAAAATACCAAGATTGAAGTTTTGGAGGAAGAGCTCAGACTGGCCCGAGATACCAACTCTGAAAACTGCAACAAGAACAAATTCCTGGATCAGAACCTGCAGAAATACCAGGCAGAGTGTTCCCAGTATAAAGCAAAGCTTGTGAGCCTGGAGGAGCTGAAGAGGCAAGCTGAGCTGGACGGAAAGTCAGCGAAGCAGAATCTTGACAAGTGCTATGGCCAAATCAAAGAACTCAATGAGAAAATCACCAGACTCACTTATGAGATTGAAGATGAAAAGAGGAGAAGAAAGACTGTGGAGGATAGATTTGACCAACAGAAGAATGACTATGACCAACTGCAGAAAGCAAGGCAATGTGAAAAGGAGAACCTTGGATGGCAAAAACTGGAGTCTGAGAAAGCCATCAAGGAGAAGGAGTACGAGATAGAGAGGTTGAGGGTTCTTCTTCAGGAGGAGAGCAACCGGAAGAGAGAATATGAGAATGAGCTGGCAAAGGTAAGAAACCACTATAATGAGGAGATGAGTAATTTAAGGAACAAGTATGAAACAGAGATTAACATTACGAAGACCACCATCAAGGAGATAACTATGCAAAAAGAAGATGATTCCAAAAACCTTAGAAACCAGCTTGATAGACTCTCAAGGGAAAATCGGGACCTGAAGGATGAGATCGTCAGACTGAACGACAGCATCCTGCAGACCACGGATCAGTGCCGGCGGGCGGAAGAGAACGCCCTCCAGCAAAAGACCTGTGGCTCGGAGATGATGCAGAAGAAACAACAGCTAGAGACAGAGCTCAAGCAGGTCATCCAGCAGCGCTCTGAGGACAATGCCAGGCACAAACAGTCCCTGGAGGAGGCTGCCAAGACCATCCAGGACAAAAACAAGGAGATTGAGAGACTCAAAGCTGAGTTTCAGGAGGAGGCTAAGCGCCGCTGGGAATATGAAAATGAACTGGCTAAGGTAAGAAACAGTTACGATGAGGAGATAATTAGCTTGAAAAATCAATTTGAGACTGAGATCAACATCACTAAGACTACCATCCACCAGCTTACCATGCAAAAAGAAGAAGACACCAGTGGCTACCGAGCCCAAATTGACAATCTCACCAGAGAAAACAGGAGCTTATCTGAGGAAATAAAGAGGCTCAAGAACACACTAGCCCAGACTACAGAGAACCTTAGGAGGGTTGAAGAAAATATGCAACAGCAGAAGGCCACTGGCTCAGAGATGTCGCAGAGGAAACAGCAGCTGGAGATCGAGCTGCGGCAGGTCACTCAGATACGAAGTGAAGAGAGCCTGAGATACAAGCAGTCTCTCGATGATGCTGCCAAAACCATCCAGGATAAAAACAAGGAGATAGAAAGATTAAAGCAGCTGATAGAAACAGAAACAAATGAACGGAAATGCCTGGAAGACGAAAACGCCAAACTGCAAAGGGTCCAGTATGATCTGCAGAAAGCCAACAATAGTGCGACGGAGACAATCAGCAAACTGAAAATTCAGGAGCAAGAGCTCACACGCCTGAGAATTGACTATGAGAGGGTTTCACAGGAGAGGACCGTGAAGGATCAGGATATTTTGAGATTCCAGAGCTCACTGAAAGACTTGCAGCTGCAGAAGCAGAGAGTGGAAGAAGAGCTGAATCGGCTGAAGAGGACAGCCTCAGAAGACTCTGCCAAGAGGAAGAAGCTGGAGGATGAGCTGGAAGGCATGAGGAGGTCTTTGAAAGAGCAAGTGATAAAAGTCACCAGCCTGACCCAGCAGCTGGAGCAGGCATCAATAGTGAAAAAGAGGAGTGAGGATGAGCTGCGTCAGCAGAGGGACGTGCTGGAAGGCCACGTGAGGGATAAGCAGAAGACACAGGAGGAGCTCAGGAGGCTGTCTTCAGAGCTTGAAGTCCTGAGGCGGCAGCTGCTCCAGGAACAAGAAAATGTCAAACAATCTCACTTGAGGAATGAGCACTTCCAGAAGCTGATAGAAGATAAAAGCAGGAGCTTCAATGAGAGCAAAATAGAAATCGAGAGGCTGCAGTCTCTCACGGAGAATCTGACCAAGGAGCACCTGATGCTAGAGGAGGAGCTGCGGAACCTGAGGCTGGAGTACGATGACCTGAGGAGGGGCTGCTGTGAAGCCGACAGTGACAAAAACGCAACCATTTCTGAACTAAGGAGCCAGCTGCAAATCAGCAACAACCGAACCCTGGAACTGCAGGGGCTGATTAACGATTTACAGAGAGAGAGGGAAAATTTGAGACAGGAAATTGAGAAATTCCAAAAGCAGGCATTAGAGGTATTCACAAATATTTGATCATGGCTTCTCTGTCTCTCAAAAAATTCACTCCTTTATCATCTAATCTGAACCATGCTCTTGCTACTTAGATGCATGCTTACAGAGTTTTCTTTAAATATTTAATATTTTCTCTCATTTATTGCTTTTCCTCTTTTTTTTTTTTTTTTTTTTTAATTGCTGAACTGGTACCTATCATAATCCAGACAAATCTCTGTTTTGAAGAACTTTAGCATGTGTTACAGCATCTGAGATCACTTCTGCTGAATGTTTCACTCTATTTTCTAGAAGACAGCTCCTATTCAGTGATCTCTGACATACATTTGCAATGAAAAATTTCCCAATTTCCTAAATTAAAGCTGTACCGATAACAAAGCAGTTTTTGCTGCAATTTTAAAATTACTTTTTCTTGCTTGCTTATAGATGATTTTCCTGCATGCATTATTCTATTTTCTTTTAATCTTGGCCTTAATACATTCTTCTTGTTTGGCTTTTCTTATTTAAAAATAACTTCTACTACATTTGACTAAGACAATATTTGTGTGGGGCTGGATGTGGGGTATGTATATATATCCATATGTTTATGTTAATTTATTAAACATGCTAGTATAGCTATAACAGATGTAGGTAGAGCGGGTGTGAAGAAAACTCCCTGTATTTTTTCAAACCACAATTAGCAAGTAAGACGGGGTTTTAACTTCTAATTCCTTCCATGAGGAAAAAAAGTAAATGTGAAGCCATTTATCAAAATGGCAACATATATCTACAGATTTTTTTCTATGAATTTTAAGATAGCAAGTTAACAGTATATCCAGGGAACCCATAAAAAGGGAAAATAAGTAAATAAGATTTTTTTTTTTTTAAGATACAGAAAAAGAGGCTCAATTGTGTTAGTAGTATGATGTGATCAAAACATTATTTTTTCCCATTTCTTTCTTTTTAAATTCCAGGCATCTAATAGGATTCAGGAATCAAAAAGTCAGTGCACTCAGGTGGTGCAGGAAAGAGAAAGCCTCCTGGTGAAAATCAAAGTCCTAGAACAAGACAAGGCAAGGCTACAAAGGCTGGAGGATGAGCTGACACGTGCGAAAGCAACGCTGGACGCGGAAAGCAGGCTGAAGCAGCGCCTTGAGTGTGAGAAGCAGCAGATCCAGAATGACCTAAATCAGTGGAAAACTCAATACTCCCGCAAGGAGGAGGCCATTCGGAAGATTGAGTCAGAAAGAGAAAAGAGTGAGAGAGAGAAGAACAGCCTGAGGAGCGAGATTGAGAGACTCCAGGCAGAGATCAAAAGGATTGAAGAGAGGTGCAGGCGCAAGCTGGAGGACTCCTCCAGGGAAACGCAGTCTCAGCTGGAGTCAGAACGTTCCCGGCTTCAGAAAGAAATCGACAAGCTCAGACAGCGTCCCTACGGGTCCCATCGAGAGACCCAAACGGAGTGTGAGTGGTCAGTTGACACCTCGAAGCTGGTGTTTGATGGCCTGAGGAAAAAGGTGACAGCGATGCAGCTCTACGAGTGCCAACTGATTGACAAGACAACCTTGGACAAGCTGCTGAAGGGGAAGAAGTCGGTGGAAGAAGTTGCTTCTGAAATCCAGCCTTTCCTTCGGGGTGCAGGTGCTATTGCTGGAGCTTCTGCTTCTCCTAAGGAGAAGTACTCTTTGGTAGAGGCCAAGAGAAAGAAGTTAATCACCCCAGAGTCCACAGTCATGCTTCTGGAGGCCCAGGCAGCCACTGGTGGGATCATTGATCCCCACAGGAATGAGAAGCTGACTGTTGACACTGCCATTGCCCGGGACCTCATCGACTTTGATGACCGTCAGCAGATATACACAGCAGAGAAAGCTGTCGTAGGCTTTGATGATCCATTTTCAGGCAAGACAGTATCTGTTTCTGAAGCTATCAAGAAAAATCTGATTGATAGAGAAACCGGAATGCGCCTGTTGGAAGCCCAGATTGCATCTGGGGGTGTTGTGGATCCTGTTAACAGTGTCTTTTTGCCAAAAGATGTTGCCTTGGCCCGTGGACTGATTGACAGAGATTTGTATCGGTCACTGAATGATCCCCGAGATAGTCAGAAAAACTTTGTGGACCCGATCACCAAAAAGAAGGTTAGTTACATGCAGCTGAGGGAACGGTGTAGAATTGAACCACACACGGGTCTGCTTTTGCTGTCGGTTCAGAAGAGAAGCATGTCTTTCCAAGGAATTAGACAACCTGTGACGGTCACCGAACTAGTTGATTCAGGCATATTGAGACCATCCACTGTAAATGAACTTGAATCAGGGCAGATTTCTTACGATGAGGTTGGTGAGAGAATCAAGGACTTCCTGCAGGGTTCAAGCTGCATAGCAGGCATATACAATGAAACCACAAAACAGAAGCTTGGGATCTATGAGGCCATGAAAATAGGCTTGGTGCGACCAGGTACTGCTCTAGAGTTACTTGAAGCCCAAGCAGCTACTGGCTTTATCGTGGATCCTGTTAGCAATTTGAGGTTACCGGTAGAAGAAGCCTACAAAAGAGGTCTGGTAGGCATTGAGTTTAAAGAGAAGCTCTTGTCTGCGGAACGAGCTGTCACTGGATATAATGACCCTGAAACAGGAAACATTATCTCTTTGTTTCAAGCCATGAACAAGGAGCTCATTGAAAAGGGCCATGGCATCCGTTTATTGGAAGCTCAGATTGCAACCGGGGGCATTATTGACCCAAAGGAGAGCCATCGTTTACCAGTTGACATAGCTTACAAGAGGGGATATTTCAATGAAGAGCTCAGTGAGATTCTCTCCGATCCAAGTGATGATACAAAGGGATTTTTTGATCCTAACACTGAAGAAAACCTTACCTATCTGCAGCTAAAGGAAAGATGCATTAAGGATGAAGAAACAGGGCTCTGTCTTCTGCCCTTGAAAGAAAAGAAGAAACAGGTGCAGACATCCCAAAAGAATACCCTCAGGAAGCGTAGAGTGGTCATAGTTGACCCAGAAACCAATAAGGAGATGTCTGTTCAGGAGGCCTATAAGAAAGGCCTGATTGATTATGAAACTTTCAAAGAACTGTGTGAGCAGGAATGTGAGTGGGAAGAAATAACCATCACTGGATCAGATGGCTCTACCAGAGTGGTTCTTGTAGATAGGAAAACAGGTAGTCAGTACGATATTCAGGATGCCATTGATAAGGGCCTTGTTGATAGAAAGTTCTTTGATCAGTACCGATCTGGCAGCCTCAGCCTCACTCAGTTTGCTGATATGATCTCCTTGAAAAATGGTGCAGGCAACAGCAGTGGCTTGAGTGGTAGTGTCAGTGATGATGTTTTCAGCAGCTCTCGGCATGATTCCGTAAGTAAGATTTCAACCATTTCCAGCGTCAGGAATATAACCATTAGGAGCAGCTCTCTGTCCGACCCCCTAGAAGAATCAAGCCCCATTGCAGCCATCTTTGACACAGAAAACCTGGAGAAGATTTCCATTTCTGAAGGTATAGAGCGAGGCATTGTGGATAGCATCACAGGCCAGAGGCTTCTGGAAGCTCAAGCCTGCACAGGTGGCATCATCCACCCTACCACTGGTCAGAAGCTGTCACTCCAGGATGCTGTCTCCCAGGGTCTGATTGACCAGGATATGGCCACCAGGCTAAAGCCTGCTCAGAAAGCCTTCATTGGTTTTGAAGGGGTGAAGGGAAAGAAGAAGATGTCAGCAGCAGAGGCCGTGAAAGAAAAATGGCTCCCCTATGAGGCAGGACAGCGCTTCCTGGAGTTCCAGTACCTCACGGGAGGCCTTGTTGACCCAGAAGTACATGGGAGGATAAGCACTGAGGAAGCCATTAGAAAAGGCTTCATCGATGGCCGAGCAGCTCAGAGGCTGCAAGACACCAGCAGCTATGCCAAAATCCTGACCTGCCCCAAAACCAAATTGAAAATATCCTACAAGGATGCCATGAATCGCTCCATGGTAGAAGATATCACTGGGTTACGCCTTTTGGAAGCAGCCTCGGTTTCCTCCAAGGGCTTGCCTAGCCCTTATAACATGTCTTCTGCTCCAGGCTCTCGCTCCGGCTCTCGTTCTGGTTCTCGGTCTGGCTCTCGCTCTGGTTCCCGCAGTGGGTCCCGGAGGGGCAGTTTTGATGCAACAGGGAATTCTTCCTACTCTTACTCTTACACCTTTAGCAGTAGCTCTATTGGGCATTAGTAGTCAGTTGGGAATGGTTGCTACACGTTGGCTCCTTTTATGTTAATTTTCACTTTATTAAATAATAAAAATCCTCAATGCTTGCAGTAGGGATAATCACTTTGGTTAAGAAAATATAGTCATGTTTGAAATCAAATAGTAAAGGCTGTTCTAGCTCTTGATCTTCTTAGCTTATCTTAAACTAATGTAATACACCTTGGATGTAGTGTACATGAAATGGTAATCAATTGTAAGGATAGTATAAATTGAATTTAGAATTTGTTTCTTCCCTTCTGTGTTTAGATTTTGACTAACTTTTCTTGAAGTCTTTTTGGCATATAATACAGATTTCTGTTCTTGGAGATAAAAATGGATAATTGATATTTTACACATCATTCTGTTTCTTATCTAAATATTACCATTTTCTGGATTAGGCGAAATCTCCCTCCCCCCTGCAAAACCCAAGCATTTTGGAATGAGTCTCCTTTAGTTTTTGAATGTGGATTGTATAAGCCATATACTCTGAAATGCCCTCATTTGGTTTGGTATTAATTTGACTGTGCATGATAGCAGCAATCTTTCATTTTCTCCAGTCAACGTTTTCTGTTTATTTTGCTTGTTATTTTCAATGTACTTTTTAAAAGGTGTCTTTATGAAGTTTGCTCCTCTGGCAATAAACTTTTAGACTTTTGAAGTGTTTGTGGTTTGATTTAGTAATGTTTATGCATACAAAGACATTTAGCAGCAGATTTAATTATTTTAAAATATGTCTAAACCATTTGTTTACCCAATACCTATTAAGAAACACCATTAAAAAACCATTTTGGCTCTGAATTCTTATTAGAATTCTTGTTGGCTCTTTAAACATTTCTCGAGCACCTTGTGAAATAAAACCATGTAAGGTGGCTAAACCAGATGTCAGTAAGTACCCAGTTCTAATATATTCTGGAAAGAATTGCCTTTGAATCAATGAGATGACTCCTTGAAGAATTCTGGCAGTCTGTTGAAGGACAATGAAATGTAAGCCTACTTTTTGGAACACTGTTGAAATTCAGACATTTGTCATTAAATCAACACAGTTTTACTAAATATCCACTAAGTCTCATATTGGGCTGCGTACTATGAAGATTACATAGAATTTACTAGCCCCGTGACTACAAGTCTTTAGTATTCTGGCTGGGGACAGAAGACACATATAAAGCCTTCAAGGAGACAGTTTTCATATGTATAGAAAAAATGAAATGCTAATTGTACAGAATGAAAAAAATGGTAATCTCATTAAAATCAAATCTAATAGTTAAAATTATTGACAACTTTTGGTACTCGGGATGAAAACGCAATGCAACACCCTGCTGTGGAGTTGCATCCAACTCATAGCGATCCCTCCTTGGGTTTCCAAGGCAGTATCACTATGGAAGTAGATTGCCCAGCTTTCTGGTTAGCAGTCAAATCCCTTAGGCACTGCACCACCAGAAATGACCTCCATTTTCCCTAAACTTCAGCTGGCAATTTGGGTCCCCATTGAATGGACTATTTTCCTCTGTAGTACTTGCTTCTTCCTTGTTTCAATAAGCTTTTCTTCCCCTTTTCCCTTCTCCTCATTAGAAGAACTTGGAATTAGTTTCATTTATCAAATATTGAGATCTACTGTGTGTCATGCATTGTGGCAGAAGCCATTCATCCTGGGGTAGGCAAAAGTAGCCCTTGTAATCTAAAAGGAAGAAAAAAAATTATGTAGTAAATACTGTGTGTGGGAAAATAAAGGAAGTTTTTCACGCTAGTGCTGGGAGGCCTAACCTAGAACAGGGTCTAGAAGCCTCCCCAAGGAAGTGATGTTTAAGAGATGAGCATCAATGAGAAGTTTCTCTGGTTGAGTCAGTCATTAGAGAGTATACAATTTATATATCTTCCCTACCCCTTGCAAGCTGCTGCTAAAGTTGTCATTAAACACTGAGATGAAACAGGAGAATATGCTTGATCTGGGCTAAATTTTGATTGAGGAGCTCTGGTAGCTTAGTGCCTAAGGCACTTGACTGCTAACCAGAAGGCTGGTGGTTCAAACCCACCAGCCACTCCTCGGAAGGAAGATGGGG